TGATACTAAATCCAAAAAATGTTTACATGGTTTTACTGTCCACAATAAGTTATTTGATAAAACAAGTAATTTTGATCATGTATATTGTATTTTCATAATCATATTGAACATTTTGCGTGTCCCTGAAATTGCTGTCCACCCTGTCATTATGGGGTAACTACCCCTTTAAGAAACCCACTGATGTTTTCAGTGACATCACTATGAGCATTTTGTCTTTCTTCAATGAAGGCTGAAGCAGTGTCTAGTTGCAGAGTAAGTATTTACACTTATGTTTCATAATTTTCATCATATTATGTGTGTAGTTGGATGTTGTCAAGCTTAACATGTCCACTCTGTCATAGTGAAATATCAATTGATAGAAAAACCTATCAGAACTTTGAAATATATTTGTAAAACAGTACACAGTCAGCTTGCTAACTGTAGTATGTTGCTAAGTGAAGGTCCACCATGTGCTCATTAAATGCTAACATTAGCCAAAAATGTCCACCCTGTCATTGTCCACCCTGTCAGCAAGCCTTCCATGACAGGGTGGACATGGTTCATGACAGGAAGGACATGTGCATAGTTTAGGCCACATACTGATAATGTTACACATATTACAACAGCTATTACACACATTTTATAACAGTACATGCTATACATAGTAAGAATGGACAATATGGACAATTTTTTTGCCGATATCGGTATCAGCAAACCTAGTTTGATAATGCAAGCCTAGTTTACCGGGACTGCCAATTAAAGTGTGTAAGGGAACATTTTGAATCGTCTTTTTCAAGGAATGAGATCAAAAGGAGCTGAGATAGCAAGGAGATATCGGGAACGTCGTGATGCTGACCCAGACAGAAGAAGAAAGTACCTTGAGAAAGAAAGGGTCAAATGGAAAAAAGACAGAGAGACTGGAAAGAAGAAGGGTGTCAATGAGCTCAGTGAGAGAGAGAAGAGGGCAAAAAGAAAGAAATGGAGAGAGGCAAAAAGTCAAGCCAGAGCCAGAAACAGGGCCAGTGCTTTGCTACAGTCAGAGACACCACCCGGCCAAATGAAATACAGAGACATTTCATGTCTGTGTAAAAGGGAGGAAGGTGTTTTGGACTGCCCCTGCTTTAACCTTCAAGAGGTCACTCTAGCTAATGTTCCTGTTTCATCTGACAAGTCCCCAGCATGTGGAAAGACACCAGATAATCCTAAGAGACCAGAAATGATTGAGGTAAAGCACATTGGAGAGTGGTGCGTCGTTAATCATGACAATGAAGCATACCCAGGTATCATCATGGATGCAGAAGGGCACAGTGTGAAAGTTAAGTGTATGCAACGCCACGGCATAAACAAGTTCAAATGGCCAAGTCTTCGGGACGACATCTGTTGGTACCATGACTGGCAGGTACCTTGCCTAATACCAGAACCACAGGCTCTGAACAAGCGCTCTGTACAGATTGAAGTGTCTGCATGGAAGTATGTGGAACAGCAACTGCAGAACTGAGCCATGTCTCTGCAGAAAGGGAGAGACTGTTTGGAGATGCGTCCAAATGATCTTTCTGTAATATTCTGTTTTTTCAAATCAACTGTTCTCCACTTAAAAAACATTTTTCTTATTGTTCTACAGTTGAATGTTTGACTTTCACTGTGCAGAATGATGTACAGAGTTTAACGCTAGAAGGCCACATTAATGTCTCATTTTGGGCATCTTTATTCAGTGGCTGCATGCAGGTAGAGTGGATCAAAAACAGTCTGTTCAACTTGTAATTTCCCCCTACATGGGAAAAGGCATTTTTTTACATCATTTTCTTGCATTGTTCCTTGCATTTATGAGGTCATTCAATGACATTTCACAACGTGTCCACCCTGTCATGCCCAGGGTCCACCCTGTCATGTCACTGTCCACCCTGTTATTTTCATGTTCTATGAAAATAAACAAATTATTTTCACAAGTTAGCAAAATCTTTTGTGTGATTCCTTTATAAACAAATGAGGGCCAAATAGTATTGTTTGAAAGTTTGACCAGATATCTTTTTTGTTAGATTTTATTTAGAAAAGAAAGTGCAACTCTCGCAGATTTTATAGAGAAACAAATAGTTTGCCATAATTTCATTATTATCCAAATACTTTTCCCATAAACTAAAATATATTGTTGAGAAAGTGACTAAATAGTTTTCTGAAAATGTACGTTTTATAATCACTATGTAATTACAATGTATTTATTCTGCTTTGAAATTGTCCATGACAGGGTGGACATATTTTGCTGTTTGCATGTAAATTGTCTGCTTGCAGTTAATTTATAAAAAGTGTGGGAGCTTGACCAATATGCATTTCTAACAGCATAACATATACTTAATACAATGAATATGAAGTTCAATGGAAAATCTCAGCTTTTTGGGGGGGAAATGGGGAAGTCTCAAAGGCACCTTATGGTGATATTGACCCAACTCTCTGTGGTTCTAACTCAATAGTGTCTGAAACATTCCCTTGCTTGGCCATGCTGTAGGTCATGTAACTGTTTGTTACATGCCATATGTTTTGAGGACTTCACTGGACAGATGTTGCTCTCCGGTTTTGTAATAAAACAAATGTGTCATTGAATTTATTCTGCAGCTGTGTCTTCTTAGGCCTATATATCACGGTGTCAAGGCATATGAACTAAATAGTACCCGCAAAACACCAGTCTCAAAGTCAACAGTGAAGAGGCGACTCCGGGATGCTGACCTCCTAGGCAGAGTTGCAAAGAAAAAGCCATATCTCAGACTGGCCAATAAAAATTAAAGATTAAGATGGGCAGTCTGAGATATGGCTTTTTCTTTGCAACTCTGCCTAGAAGGTCAGCATCCCTGAGTCGACTCTTCACTGTTGACGTTGAGACTGGTGTTTTGCGGGTACTATTTAATGAAGCTGCCAGTTGAGGACCTGTGAGGCGTCTGTTTCTCAAACTAGACACTCTAATGTATTTGTCCTCTTGCTCAGTTGTGCACCGGGGCCTCCCACTCCTCTTTCTATTCTGGTTAGAGCCAGTTTGCGCTGTTCTGTAAAGGGAGTAGTACACAGCCTTGTACGATATCTTCAGTTTCTTGCCAATTTCTCACATGGAATAGCCTTCATTTCTCAGAACAAGAATAGACTGACGAGTTTCAGAAGAAAGTTATTTGTTTCTGGCCATTTTGAGCCTGTAATCGACCCTACAATTGCTGATGCTTCAGATACTCAACTAGTCTCAAGAAGGCCAGTTGTATTGCTTCTTTAATCAGCACAACAGTTTTCAGCTCTGCCAACATAATTGCAAAAGGGTTTTCTAATGATCAATTAGCCTTTTAAAACGATAAACTTGGATTAGCAAACACAAAGTGCCATTGGAACACAGATGATTGCTGATAATGGGCCTCTGTATGCCTATGTAGATATTCCATTACAAATCAGCCGTTTCCAGCTACAATAGCCATTTACAACATTAACAATGTCTACACTGTATTTCTGATCAATTTGATGTTATTTTAAATGGACAAAAAAATTGCTTTTCTTTCGAAAACAAGGACATTTCTAAGTGATCCCAAACTTTTGAACGGTAGTTTAGGTTGTAATATGGCATTTTTTTCTGGATTGGCCTCCCTAGTGAATTTACCCACGCACTGCTACTGGTTATATTAATTAAATAATTGATTGATAAGCCCACGGATGTTCAACAAAAAACAGGACCCACAGGGAAACTAACCCATTGGTCGTTCCCCACCCAGAAAACCCTTTTTTAAATAATCAGATTACATGTAACTGATTACATTTAATCAGTTATTCCCCAACCCTGATAAAGGCACATAACAAAGCAAGACAAAACAACACAAAGGTGCTAATATTGTACTTTTAAGGTAATTGAAAGCCTGTATTACCAGTATGTCACCGAAGAAAGCACTTACTTACTGAACCAGATTAGGAGAGTGACTGGGACAGCAAACTGGGTCAAATCACAAAAGTAAATAAATCGATGCTGGAGTAACTTTAATCAACACAGTTTGGTTCAGGTTGGCACAATAGTTTGAAAAGGGTTTGAGACCCGTCCTATATGGCTATGTCAGGCCCCAAACATAAGGACATACTGTAGTTAAGGAGTTGTGAAAGTGCAGTGTTTCTGTCTTGAGTTTCAATACATTGCTCTTTACACACGATATAATGAAATGCTTGTCCTTCACAGTAGGAGAGTGAAACCATATAAGCATGATGTGAGGGGTTGAAACCTTGGCTGTTTTTTCTAAATTAAATAGGGTTAACAAAGGGCTCAGATGTTTTTGGGGACTTTAAAATATCTCTTAAGATGAATAGTTCTAAAGATTATCTTAATAATTTTGGCAAACCCATCCCAGTACAGGATATGTTCAAACATCATTAGTATCAACATTTGCAAATTTGCCTAAGTTTTCCCTTGAAGGACAATGTGACCCTCCAGTGGTATAAGTGCAGGACTACAGCAGAGAGAGAGCGAATCACCCTTTATTGAAAAGATCCATTTGAAATGATCATTTAACATTTCCCAAAGGAGTAGACATGACTGCGTTATACTACGAACTCTTTCATTTAAAGCTGCAATATGTCACTTTTTGGGACGACGCAACCAAATTCACATAGAAATGTGAGTTATAGATATGTCATTCTCATTGAAAGCAAGTCTAAGAAGCAGTAGATCTGTGCTATGTGTGCTATTTCTATGGTTCCCATTCTTGAGTTTCATTTTTGCGATTTTTACTTTCAGTTTTATACACCAGCTTCAAACAGCTGAAAATACAATGTTTTTGGTTATTGAAAATGTATTTTACAGCAGTTTAGATGGTACAGTGATTCTCTACAGCTTGTTTTGTCACATAAACTGAAATCAGGCAAACTATTAGACTTTTAGCAAGAAGTGAAATGGCGCAGCGATTTCTGCATATTGCACCTTTAAAACAAATACTACAGTGAGAGATACTGTAGCAGGATCAGATCAGCCAACTGCAAATGGGCCTTGCAGATTCTCTGCAGTCTCTTCCACTTGGATGATGATTGGCTAGAAGGTGGGGTGTGGGGGGTGAGCACTTGTGGGGTGTGGGATCTTGTGGACACCTGAGCCAATCCACCGCAATGGATTTTGGAGTGACATTATCTTGGTTCAGTCCTCCTTTCTTAAGCACCCAATAGAGGTTATCTTGAAGAAGTAGGCATCTCCTAGGTAACAGAATCAAACAATTGTTTTTAAATGCTTTGAAAAGCGGGTGGGTTGTTTAATGATTGTTTATGTCATTGCAAGCCGGCATGCAGACTTGGGTAAGATATCTGGTTGGACAGTAGGCAGAGCTGAGGTCTAGACAGTATTTTTCATGCTAGTTTCAACCAACTGAATAATAACTAATTATAATTTTAGGTCAAGGTGTCAAGGAGTCCAAGCAGAGTTTTTACCTGTCAGGTCACACGGCCCAGAAAAACTCTTGGCCCTAGTCATTTAGAACAACCCTGAACTATCACTTTCTCTACATTAACACTGGAGCCCACTTTCATCTCATCAAGTCTCAAGTCTTTCTCAAGGCCTCACCTTCTCCCCAGCTGATGAAGTCATCAGGGTCCATGGGCACCCATCTCCAGAGGCCCGCATCTCTGGGGTAGCCCCCCTCCGGCTTCCTCCTCTCCTTCTTGCGGCCCTCCTGGAACCTCCAGAACTCACCCATGCTGAACAGGTAGATCTTCTTGTTGTTGGCCCACACGAAGGCAGCCTCCACTCTCTCCACCTCCCTGCCATCGTTGGACCTCATCCCCTACTCTGCCAGAGGCCTGGGGTAGCCTGGGAGGGCCACAGTGTCTTTGAACACCCAGTACTCAGCGCCTGCACAGGCATAGATAGGAAGAGGAAACAACCTTTGATTTACCACACAAGAACAACCACATTCATAAGGATATTAGCCACTGTAGCATGGATTAGTTCTGATGTTTTTAAACTCTAACTACGGACATGTTCATTATGAACCAAATGGGAACAGACTGAAACAGGGAGGGACTTCCTGGACTGGAATGGAAATGTTCCATTGCAAAAACATATTAGTTGCAAAACATTTTCCGTTACGTGCCCTAATGAACACGACTTTGGGCTACAATAGTGCTGTTGTCTTTCCCACCGATTAAGAAGATGATGCAGCTGTCGCTCTTCCTCTCGTAAAAGGCATCAATCTGGTTGGTTCCAGGGGAGCCCCATCCAGAAGTTTCTAATCAGGGCTGGGTTGAGGGAGACCAGATCACCAGTTCTCTGGATCCTCCAGAAATGTGGACCTGAAACAAGCAACACAATAATTAAAGAGGCTGTGTGGGAATTTAACGGCTAATTGTTTATGTCACATTTGGGCTTGATTGTTGCCTTTATGGTTCATAAATCAATATTTTAAATCATGAAACTGCAAAATCCTTAGTTATTAGGCGAACAATATGTGTTTGCTAATAGGCATGTGTAGGTGTGCCCCTTTCTGTCCAATGATTTCATTTCTGGGCAATATTTCTGCCGATGTAGGGGACCCCTTTTAGCTAATGAGCACACCCAGAGGCAATACTTCCATATAACCTCTTAATTGTCAAGTAAAATATGGTAATTAGGTCATTCAACTAAGCATGTATGTTTGTGTAATTGTGTAAACACATTGTCACTGCTAGTGTCACTAGTGTTGTATTTGTCTTACCCTTAAAAAAAACAGAGGACCGCTCCTTTGATATCTCTCACTCCATTCACTGTTTGTTGGCCTTGGAGGTGGAGGACTGGGCAGGAGAAGGTAAATGGGAGTTGCACCACCACCACCAGGGTGCACTGCAGGCTTACGCTCCTCCCTCCATGCGGAAAAGACAAAGGGTGAATCCATAGATAATAATAGAGGACTCATCTTTGTATCTTTTCTGTAGGTCTCCCTGTGCATCTGGCAGCGCCGTTGAGACCATCTCCATTTTGAAGTAGTCCATTTTTTCATCTACTACTTCTATGAGTTGGTAAACAAACTGAAAGGGTGCAAACTGCAACCTGTAGTGTGTTGTTTAAACAGGTGTAAAGCCAAGGTTTGCCATTTAATATGCCATTTAGCAGACGCTTTTATCCAAAGTGACTTATAGTCATGTGTGCATACATTTTTACGTATACATTTACAACCACCTGCAGTTATTGAATGTTTGCTCACAAGTGTAATTAATTGGCTGATCCCTTCCGATGACCTGGAGGGAATTATGTAATCCTTCCTTAACCAATTGGAAGTCCCACCCAGTTGACTACATCAAAATGGTGAAAGTCCTCAATGGCGCTGCCCATGCTAAAATTGGGTTTTGGGCACTAGAGTCCTGTATAATTCTCTATGGGTGAATCTTACTTGTATTTCCTTGGCAGTCTCAATTGGTTTTGCTTGACTCCTCTTGTCCTCTCCTCCATCCTCTCCTCTCCTCCTTTTGAAAAAGGTTAAAGGTAATCGAGGAGAGGAGAGGAGGGGAGGAGAGGAAATGTGGAAACAAATGTGCTTGCATGAAATGAGACTCTCCTTCTTCACTTCCACGTCATCATGAAAATGATGTTTACAGGGGTGGAATGCCAAAATAAATGTGTAAAGTAGTACAAATAAATGTAGCTAGTTGTGCGAGACATTGTATAGATACAATGATAAGTACCGTAAAACTAAGGGACATGCCTGACTAAAAAACCTACATTGAAACCTACAGTAAGGTGCGTGCGCCAGTTTTTACGCAAAGGTTGGTACATATAAAAACATAACTTGATGTGAGAATTATGAAGTTAAATCATTGACATAATGATTTGAGCGTGTAGAATAGATTTGAAGTTGTAAACACATTCTCAAACCTGTAACTTTTTGTAGTTGTAATCGCATTCGTAAACTTGTAACTTAACATTTGCCAGCAATGATTACATCTGTACAACTGCTTATGTCAATTTCGTGTGCTAAGACTTTGGCAGTGCTTTAACACCCTACCATGACAAAAAGGTTTGCAGATGTCATACATCGATTTGCAAGCATGGAGAGAGAGAGAGAAAGCAGGGGCTCTGAGGGGTGGGACCTGTTTCTTCCAAACAATCAGATGAGGCTTTCAGTAGACTGTCTACACTGACTGGTTGGTGACAACTCACACGGGCCATGTTGTCTAGCGCAACCACCTGTCAATCACAACGTGCATTACCAGGTTACCGCTGAGAGCGAACGCACAATGTCCACCAAACCCCAACTGTTAGCTGTCATGGCGGGTATATATATATTTTATGGCTGGGTAGCAAACTTTTTTCTTCTTTGTAATATGTTATTGGAAGCTATTGTCCAAGTCAATGTTATTAAGAGTTTGTAACTCTAACGTTGTAGTGAGATGCTAGCCACTGAAATCGATTAGCTAGGTCAAGTTACAACACTCACTACCGAGTTCCAAACTGCCTCTGGAAGCAACTTCAGCACAATAAATGTTTGTTGGGAGCTTCATGAAAGGGGTTTCCATGGCCGAGCAGCAGCCCACAAGCCTAAGAACACCATGCGCAATGGCAAGTGTCGGCTGGAGTGGTGTAAAGTTCGCCACCATTGGATTCTGGTGCAGTGGAAATGCGTTCTCTGGAGTGATGAATCACGCTTCACCATCTGGCAGTCCGATGGACTAATTTGGGTTTGGCGGATACCAGGAGAACGGTACCTGCCCCAATGCATAGTGCCAACTGTAAAGTTTGGTGAAGGAGGAATATGGTCTGCGGCTGTTTTTCATGGTTCGGGCTAGCTAGGCCCCTTAGTTCCAGTGGAGGAAAATCTTAACGCTACGGCATACAATGGCATTCTAGACGATTCTGTGCTTCCAACTTTGTGGCAACAGTTTGGGGAAGGCCCTTTCCTGTTTCAGCATGACAATGCCCCCGTTCACAAAGCGAGGTCCATACAGAAATGGTTTGTCGAGATCGGTGTGGAAGAACTTGATTGGCCTGCACAGAACCATGACCTCAAACGCATCGAACACCTTTGGGATGAATAGGAATGCCAACTGAGTGCCAGTCCTATCACCAAACATCAGTGCTCGACCTCACTAATGCTCTTGTGGCTGAATGGAAGCAAGTCCCTGCAGCAATTTTCCAACATCGAGTGGAAAGCCTTCCCAGAAGAGTGGAGGCAGTTATAGCAGCAAAGGCGGGGACCAACTCCATATTAATGCCCATGATTTTGGAATGAGATGTTCGACAGACAGGTTTCCACATACTTTTGGTAATGTAGTGTATCTCTTCAGGTTCTCCACGGCTGAGGCAATCTGACTGCTTTGCAGGATGCATCCTAGCATATTTTACGGCATTCAGGTTTTCAATGTTGTTGATGCTTTGCCTCCAGTCAATGCTGACTTCTGCCAGGGAGCTCTGGATGTCCTTCACATCCCCCAGGGCATTGTGGAGCTGATGGAGGCCTGGATGGACCTCATCTAACTGGGAGTGGATTGCAGCCTGGAGAGTGGGGACAGACAATTGTAAATGGTTTAGATAGGGCTTTACATTAATCAAAAGGCAGTGCAGATTCACAGAATGCAGCCAATGTCAAAGCTAAACAAATTATTTTCTACCTTCAGTTGTGCTTCCACTAAAACTCCAGATCTAGTGGGGTGATGTAGTAAGTAAATAATGATGCTAATTATGCTGTGAGAACAAGGAGTCCGCTTACACTGTACTTTGATTATAAAGGTTTATTATATCAAAGGATTTCAGTGTAAATTTACAGACATTTGCAGACATCTGGAGAACAACGGACCCGATCTAATATGTTGTTACTCCCCGTCCTTTGTTTTAACCGTGGTATTTATATCCTATGCCCTATGTAACATAATATGGGTGTTTTCCCATAAACCAATCCCAGGAGGCCACCTAACAGACTTCCTGTAACACACCATTTGCAAACATCAACAAAGTCATAAACTGTTTAGACACTACATATTTCCCCCCTTCGAGACTAATTAAGTCTCGAAAACAAAAATAATAGGATTATGACAAATAACAATTTATCTTATTGAATAACTTTAGCAATAAACCAAAAACACATTTTTCTATGGAGTGTAAATACATTTCTATGAAATATGAACAAATCTTTATGGAGTGTGAGAGCGAAAAACCTGTCTGGCAGCTTTCTTTCCAAATATCCATCAATCAATCAAGACAGTAAAATTCTCTCACGGCCCCTCTGCCCCAGGCAACCACCTAAGTACTCCAGATAAATTCATACATCTTTATCAATGCATTTTAAACTATGATGCAATTTGAATACACATGAAAGCCTCAGCAAACAAAATACAATCAAAAATGTCCACATTCAGGCTGGTCGACCCATCGGACCCTCCTGTGGATTCTCTCTATCCCTGCCTCAACAGACATGGACCCTCAAGATTCCTCACTGATCTTACAGAATGAGTTAACTGTTGGAACCAAAGATTCCTACCTGCCCATTCATCTTTAATTTGCAAAACAGAAGAATCAAATCCATATGCCTTCCATTTAGTTTCTCTCTTCCCTAACGAGCGGTATTGATCAGATATATCTTCTTGTCTTCCATTAAAATCAAAGAACTCATCCTGTACCTCCATGATAGTATTCTGCACTATTTCAGATGAATCTACATCATTCTCTACTACCATCTGCTCTCTTATTTCAACACTATCCTTACTACCATTGACAGCACTCTCCATCCTTATCATAAACTCCTGAGTCACTCTTGCTACATCCTTTAGTTTCAGAAAAATTGTTGTTGGTGTCTGTGTCATATTTCCTAAATTT